TGCCTCACATAGTCCTTCTGGTTAAGACTAACAACTCCATGGCCTTTGTCAGGCTTCAAAGTTGTTATTTGTTCATGAAGTTTCAAGGCGGATAGGGCAGCTATGTGGTCATTGGTTAATGGAGTCCGTTGTGTTACAGGAGCTTTACGGTACTGATGAGCAATGTTCACAAATTTTGCTTTCAGTCAGCCGACACCGTCAGTGGATCTGGGTACTAGGTCAGGAAATTGAGAAGTTAAGTCTTCAAATCGAGCCTCAGTTTCAACTGGGTTTAATCTCCTGTTCGGAATGCAAAAGTCAAGTCCTAGTGATAAAGCCTCTGATTGCAGCTTATTAAGTTTGATGTCAGACAGATTAAAGATAGTTGCATCTGCATTCGGAGGAAAATAATCGTCCGTAGACTTTTTGCACAATGACTTCCTTAGTTTAAAACGGTATGCGTCTGTTGTCTTCCTTTGTATGATACACGCATGTTTCATGAATATTAACTAACAGAAGAAACTTATCTTGTCAAGAATATGTTTTGTTTGATCCAAACGAGATTTGTTTATGTCGACAGCCTCAACCGAGTCCTCAATTTTTGATTGTGCAAGACGGTCCAGATTTTTCATGGTAGGACGTTATTTTCCCCGATGGATTATCTGGTAGAACTCCACTGGGTACTCCTTGCTGCTTATGCAATTCTGAAGAAATTCAATCCGTGTACAACATAATCATGTACATAATTTATTGGGGCCAATAAATAGGTTACCTGTGTTATGCAGAGACGGGCTGCAGTTGATAAGCCGTCACGAAATTTATTAGCCCCAATAAATTCTGTTGTACATGCCTGTTTTCAATTCATACCCGGGAAAAAGTGCTTCAGATTTCTCAAACAGCACCTCCCCTAGGATATAATTAAGTCTCTGGGCAGACTTCTACAATTGCGATGCATAATAACGAAAGAAAACACTCGGATTGAATTTCCGTCAAGGTTCGATCACGCCGGTAGCCGACCTAGATTCCATACTCGATGGCAGTGGGTGTTAGTTACCGCTGCATTCTAAACTCCACCACTGATTGGTCAGAGGTCCAGTAAGCAATGATAGTGGAAGGAAGTTCTGCTTTTTCTGGAGGACTTACTGGTGAATTGTGAGCATACGAAAATTTTTATTCCTGTTGCGCCTCAATTAGGGAAATCCTCTTTACTTTTATCAACCGTATGTCTAACAATGCGAAGGTGCAAAGGTCACATCGATTCCGCGCAACAAGATCATGAAACACATGAGGATTGTGCGAATTTTTAGACGTTACTGCGCTCATGCCGTTTCATTTAGTCAGTTATTAGCCGGGACAAGCATTATGTACTCATCTAACACGAAATTTCACCTTTTTGACGTTTCAACTTCTCTTAAAATTTTTATTTTTAATCAACGAAACAGTACTTGGAATACTTATTTTGTGTTTTTCACTTATCTAGAGGTCGTTGATTAGTAGTTTGGTGCTTTAGTGAAAGCGTTCAAAATGCTTTCAGACCGGTTAGTGATCTCTCACTGATTTAGTCGTACCTCATGAGACAGGTCACCTGCTGCACGGGTACTCGGTAAAAGCCAAACTCACTAAACAGGTACTCGCCTTCAGCTGATACCGTACGGTATCTTGTGGCTACTGGCCGCCTGTCGGCATTTAATGAATATTACGCGGGTATCCCACTGTGGCTGATGGACCTCGGTCCAAATATTCACAGATCCAATTTCGGTCCACACCTTAATATATACTGATCTACTCCAAGCTCGTAGTTAATTTCTGAGGAAATTAAAAATCAACAATTTGCAGAGTATCTACCAGGAGGCAGACGGGAATGCTGTGGGACCCACTGAAGAGCTGAGCCCCTCGCAGCTGTGTCGTGCAGCAGCAGAATATCTGTGAAACACGTGTGTCTGGGTTTTTAGTGAGTACCTGTGCTGCTAATATGGTATCTTGTAACCCTAAAGTAGCATCCTTCAACTTTACTAAAGAACTACATACACGCCTTCCTGCGTGGACAGTAAACCCTTCAAGTAATCTACAATCTTCACGCCTTCTTGAAAAACCCTAAAGTATACCACTAGCATCATTCCCCCTCTGATTTCTGGTCAATACTAGATCTACCAGAAAGCAGACGGGGAATGCTGTGGGACCCACTGAAGAACCGAACCCCTCGCCGAGCAGCAGCAGAATACCGGTGAAATACGCGTGTTTACGCTTTTAGCGAGTAGCTGTGCTCTCTTGTGACCCTAAAATTTTCACCTTTTCTACATTTCCACTTTTTTCGAGGGAATTTTTGCTAATCAACGAAACAGCACCTGAAGCACTTTTTTGCGTTTTTAGTCAACTAGAGGTGGTTAACTAGTAACCTGGTGTTTTACTGAAGGCGTTCCAAATGCTTTCAGATTGGTTAGTAATTTTTCGTTAATTTAGTTGTACTTCACCTGCTGTGTTGTTTGCAAGCACATTCTTGTATGCGGGGAGGTGAGATGCGCGGGCAGATGTGATGTGGCTCTTGTAGACAAGCGGCCGCAAGATCGAATTGAACTCGCACCAAGAAGTAACCCGGACGACTGCGTTCCACCTGTCCATGTTCTCACGCATATGTCTTCCTTTGTATGGAGCAGTATACACAGCGCTCTCGACGGTGGCATGACAATCAGGATTAGTATTTCTGACTTTTGCAAATCAGATATTGAATAAGGTTCTCCTCGGATTGTATTTTTTGTCCTCGCTGGCCATTTATCTCCTTTCAGTTCCACCAAGGTGCAACCACACTGTCAGCTGACTGTACCCGATGAAATGTTTTACTGCTCTTGAAAATTCACAGTATTGGTTTTTCATTTAGAAGACAGTTGCCCGCCCCCCGGAGTCAGACGAGTATGACGTGACTGATCCCGACTACGCCCTCTGGGTGCCACCACAAAGTGCGTTACTTGCTTTTATTGGTTCTCTATCACAACCACTTACCCTTGTGTCCCCCCCCTCCCCCGGGGCATCAGCATACCTCTAGTAATAATTATTTTTTACTGAAGGAATCCTAATTCAAGTGGGAAAAGTGGTCTTTGCAGGCAATCGGTGGGGCCCGTTTAATGAAACTTACAGTGCATGTGCTAAGTGATGAAATGTTGGCCAAAAATCTAAAATGCGTTTTGGACTCTAAAAGATTATACATAGATGTTTTGGCAGATTTTGAATAATTCATATTGACCCAACCGTGAAAAATTCGGCGCCTCGGTGGGATTCGAACTCACGCAGTAAGGGGAAGGTTTTAGTACAGCCAACGCTCTAGTCGCTTGAGCTACGAGGCCCCGCCGGACGAAGCGAGTTTAATCGCACTTGGGTCAAGTTACCCGCCCAACCTACTGCAACGTCTGGAATCCACCAAATTCGATACAGTAAGTTGACTGTCCAAGCAGGATTTCCCAGGTAATTCCCCCGGAATCCACCAGATGACTACCAGGCTCACGTAATTCATAGATGTCTTAGCAGATTTTGAGTAATTCCTATTGACCCAACTGTGAAAATTCGGCGCCTCGGTGGGATTCGAACCAACGCAGTAAAGGGAATGCTTTATTACAGCCAACGCTCTAACCACTTGAGCTACGACGCCCCGTCGGACGACGCAAGTTTACTCGTAGCTCAAGTGGTTAGAGCGTTGGCCGTACTTAAACCTTCCTCTTACTGCGTGGGTCCGAATCCCACCGAAGCGCGGAGTTTTTCACAGTTGCGTCAGTGTGAATCGAAAAGATTACTTTGGTAGGATTGTAGTACTTATAATCGTGCAGCATAATTCCATGATATTTCGTTTACTTCGGAATGCAGGCCTTCGAATGAACTTCTTTTCGGCCGCCTGCAAAAACCGCTGCAAAAATGACTACTTAATTAGTACGAATTTTTCTCATTGATTTTCGATGGCTTCATAAATTTAAATATATTTCATAAAGAAACATGCATATAATTATTCATTTTTTACTTAATTGTAGAAAATTACGTCTTCTTTACATTTTATACTTGAAGAAAGGGTATAATTCGGTTTCAAACACTTCCAATTACCAAATAATTTTGAACCTGGCATGCCGTTACACTTGCATTCAGCTTTTCAAAGTTCGAAGCTGTATATTTTCCGTGTACGGAAAACCATGCATTTGTGTATGATACTACGAGGGCATTGTATGGATCCCTTGAAATTCATCTGTGGATCTGAGCCTTATTGTAAACTTTACAAGCAACGTTAGTAAATGCAGATACGGGAAGTTTTATGAATGGGTATTTCACGGTGTTCAAAAATCTCATAATTAGAAACTGTTCTAAAACCGAATCTCACCATTCCTTTAAGCACAAAATTTAAAGAAGAGGTAACTTTCTACCAAAGGAGTGGAAGAATGCATATTGCTAGGCATGTTTTCAATGAGACGTATTTGAAAACCAATGAGAAAAATTCGTGCCACTTAAGTAGTCGTTTTCTACGGACTGTAGCTTCTGTGAGCGGCTGAAAAGTTCATTCAAAAGCCGGCATCCTGAAGTATCTGAAACATCATGGGATTATGCCGCACGATTTTTAATAATACAACCATATTTAAGTAATCTTTTTGAGTCGAAATCACATTTTAGAATTCGGTTAGCACATGTTCTGTACGTGTCGCCGGGTTTCGCAGCATTCGTTATAAAATGCCGGATTTAATGCTGACAGCCAATGATGATAAACACTGCGCCTTCTACTCATTTATGTATCTTCTTATTCTTCATTTTTTTCCCTCAAAATATTTCAGACCAGACAGGCGACGGAATTACGGACCTCAATGCCAAGTACGGCTACTGACCGGACTTTGTCTTTCTGTATATTGTACTCCCTCCAATTTTACTAAAAAACAGCTTCCGACAGCCGCGCTGTTCTTTTCGGTCCGCTGTGAAAAAAAGTTCCCAGTACGGCCGGGTTCTTTTTATTATTTCTACGTAAACTACGACCCGTTTTCTACTGGTGAATTCCAGACCTAGGTCTTCTTTGTGGGAAACGTGATTGCTGCAGTTTCTGTTGCCAGGCTTGACGATGGCGTCCAAGTGTCCAGACCTCTAACATCGGTCGGAGATGCCGTCCTCCTGTCAAAGCAAAAGGAGGTATCGGTTATTCTGCAGCAATGCAGGTGTGCCTATGCCTCTGTGACTCACGTTGTAATTTTCGGAAGGACTAGCGCCGTACCCCTGTAAAATCGAAGAAACATTTGAAGATAATTAGTTCTACTTGCTATAATTGAGTAGTATTTATAAGTTCAGTAAACGATGATACTGGCTAAGGACTAACACAGGAGGGACATTCCGCTTTTTCGGACTGACAGTAGAGAACCTCGTTTTGTTTGTAGTCTGAGGGGCCTTTCGCCCGTCTTCCTTTGAAGTGTTTGGAAGTACTAAGAATAGAAAAAATAAATCAATGCGAGGTATCCGTCAGTGGACCATCATTACTCACCTGTGTCCTGTGAAGCTTGTGGGCGCTCTTACTTACAAAAAACAGCCCAGCTAGCTTGGCCGTTTTCGGCTAAATCATGTAACATCTGGAGAATAATCACGTTTGCTGTTATGTGTTGAACGATCCACATATGGCATGTAAGACATGGTACATACCTCTCCTTTCCTGTCCTAAGCACATTACAACACTGTGACAGTATTCCGAACGGGTGTGGTGACCGGCGAAAATGCATCTTTTTCCACGATGGTAGTTATTACTGTAGAAGGACCATTCCGGACAGTTTCTTTGACCATAATATTCTACCAGTCACGTCGTTTTATTGTAAACGGGCTGTTTAACAAACCTGCATACGTCCTGAGGTGTGTTGTATTGTCAGGCCAGAGTCTCTCATCCTTCTGGCTCTCGTTTTGATAAGGTTTTATGTGACGCAACTGCGAGCTCCAGTCTGGACCGCAACTACCTTGAGGATGTAGTAGAATCGTATTCCTACGTGGTATACACGGGGTCCAGGGGCCGAGCATGCGGTCGTACATTCGTGTCGTCACTACAGCAGTAGCCGTGCAGTATTCCTCGAATTGACGGGCGTTTCAGCATCTGCAGTAGAATTTTGCGCCGTCGAGCTAAAATTTTACGTTACAGTGGTAGTTAGTGGGTAGTGCTAGGCTGATATTCAAAACCACGTACAGTGCGTGACCTATATCATGAAATGTTGGCTGAAATTCGGAAAAGCGTTTTCGATTAGGAAAGAATTACTTGGTAGCGGTTTTGATAATGATTATCATAAGGCATACTCTTATAACATTTTTGACTCGGCAGGATGTCGGCTTTTAAATGCAGTTCTTTTCAATCTCCTGTAGAAAGCGTGCTTGGTAAACAATGGCAACTTAAGTAGCATGCATTGTTCCCATTGATTTTCGATGGTCTTGGAAATTCGAATATATTTTATAGAAATCGTAAACAAAAATATGCTTTCCTTTAGTCAGTCAATAGATAATCACGTCTTCTTTATATTTTATGCTTAAGGAAGGAGTATAATTAGGTTTTAAAAAAATTTTCTAATTGCCGAAAAATTTGGAGCCTGATCATTCGTTGCATTAGCGCTTTGTGATTACACTCTACAAGGTGCATGCGTTCCGCGTAAAGAAAATCCCATATTTTTCTATGTCATTAAAGAGATATCATACAGGGTGCATAAAATTTTGCAATGGATGCGGACCATGTTGTACATTTCATGAGGAGCAGTGGTAAACGGCCAGGTACGATGCTATGTGAATGGACATATCGCGGTCTTAAAAAGTCTCATAATTAGAAACTTTTTTAAAACGTAATTATACTTCTTCCTTAAGTATACAATATAAAGGAGACGTAATTTTCTATTGATTGACTAAAAGAAAGCATATTTTTGTTCATGGTTTCTATAAAATATATTTGAATTTCCAAGACCATCGAAAATCAATTTGAAAAATGCATGCTACTTAAGTTGTCATTGTTTACCAAGCACGCTTTCTACAGGAGATTGAAAAGAAGTTCATTTAAAAGCCGACATCCTGCCGAGTTCGAAATGTTATAAGAGTATGCCTTATGATAATCATTATCACAACCGCGACCAGGTAATTCTTTCCTAATCGAAAACGCTTTTCCGAATTTCAGCCAACATTTCATGAGATAGGTCACGCACTGTATCTCATGAAATCTTAACAGACAGGTAATTCAGAATCCGTCTTTATGGACGATCGGGTGAAAACACTGAAAGTCATGAATTATTCAGTAACATTTCAAGGCCTATCTGAAACTCAACGTAATCCAAAACGAACGAAAAGTGTAAATTAATTTAACGGAAGGAAAGTTCTCTCTATAAACAGAAAATGGTATGTCTGCGATCACGCCTGTCAGTTAGATTTATTAGGCACCGACCGGCCTCATGGCATGCCACCTTATGAAAACTTTTGTTCCTACGACGTCCCCATCGGCGAAGTAAAGGGAAATCCAGTTTCTCTTGTTGAACCCCATCTCATGTACTTCGAACTAGTCAAAAATAACAAGAATCACTGGAAAACTGTCTTGGAATCTACACTCAGAATGTGGGCAGTTGACAAACCGTCATATATGAAATCACACTACTTTTTAAACGATATTTAGATGCGAACTTCACTGAGACACTATTATTGCACGTTATTTCATTTGTACGTTCAAATTTACTACGTACGCAGTTGACTAATTTAGAGCCATTTCTAACGTTTTCTGGATATTGCGCTTTTCAAAATAAATCCGTATTTCTAAACAACGCAACACTGCCTATAATATTTCTTTTATGTCTTAATTTGTTTAAACTTGTACTTAATTAACATAGACATTGGACTCATGAACTGGTGTCGGTTTGCGAATGATAGACAATCATTCGTAAATTTCGACACATTCCATGAGCTAGGTCACTAACTGTACATTCCCCATTGATGGGGGGGGGGGTTGCGAGTGCTTCAAACGGGATGAATCTAACGTGGGTTCCCAACTGATGGAATACATCGCCCCATCAGACATATGTAGTTACCAATGCCTTGGCTTGTGCCAGCACAACTCATACCTGCGGGCAGTTTCCTAACATCAACGCTGTCATCAGGCAATGGCCTTCCGTCTGGCCTAGCTGCTGGCTACTCGGCGCGTCCACAGGTAACGGATAGTGGAATGGCCTTCAGCGAGGGTTGGCTGAAAAATAAGCAGGATCGTGGTCCTGACAATTAAGCAGTCGTGCAGCAGCAACAGCAATGACAATGACCTTTGGATGCGGTGAGCTGAGGTCTGGCACGCTGAAAGCCTCATTAAAATGTCGTGAAGTCCGATGACGGCACTGCAACATGGCGGCCGTGAATCGCCATTAAAGAGATTTGCTTACAACCGCTGCCCTTTCGTTAGGTTTCCGAGACAAAGACGACCGAGGCATGTAGTAGGGATTCGCCTGTACTTGAAATCCCCAAGAAACCTCGTGAAAATTATCTACGATGGTATCGCGACCCATGTTACGGTGTCCGCGGGGACCAACACGCCCCGCAACCCTGGTTCAGTGGTGTGGACAAATCGTATGCGAGTTGGACCCCTAAAACGGCAACCTACTCTTGATATTCGATGCTGGAATGTGTGGACATTTCTGACTTTGGTACCCAAAGTCTGACGGCGCGCGGCCCTTGTCAGTAGAAAGTTTATACTTGTTGCTCGCCCGAAGTCCGAATCCTCGACTCAGGTGCAAGGAGTCATCTTCCACTCCACACTGTAGCACAGCTACCCCCGCCACCATTCTGGTGGACACGGTGTGGCTATCGCTCTTTCGGAACGGACGAACCATCAATGGCCGGATGGCGTACGTGCGACTGAAGGGCCGCTTTACAAACACCTCTATCGCCTCTGTGGACGCACCAGCATCAGCTGTCGAAGCACGATAAAGAGACGTATTCTCGGCTGCAGGAGATAGTTGAGGGACTCCCTGTACGTGATCAACTGATTGTTACGGCGGACTGGAGTGGCCGCGATGGACCCGGCGACTCTCCAGTCCTTTTATTGACTGACTTTGGCTTGGCTCTCATTATGACAATCGTGTGAGGACGCTTTATTTTGCCGGCAGTTTGTCATCAACACGTGCCTCCAGCATCTCCACAAATATCTGCTGACCTGATATTCAAACGACGGACACACGGCTAGTCAACTTGAGTACATTCTAGGTGGTTCAGGATTCCGCAGCTGAGTTCATGATAGCAGATAGATGTGTGTTGCCGAAACTGGTAACGCCCATGCGTCTTACCCCATACTTCAGGGGCCCTGAGCAAAGAAATCCAATCCCGTTTAACGGCCGGGGGCGACAGAGAAGGCAGTGGTCAATGGTCATCACTGAAGTCATCAGCCTATGAGGCAGCCGAGAAAATTCTTGGACTCACCTAGAGGCGCCGAAATGACAGAATCAGCGGGTGAACTTTGCTGCTATCAGTCCAGACGACTCAGAGCCAGGTTCTGCAGCAATGACTCCCTACACCCATATGGGGAAATGACAGCAGTGTCGGCTTGAGGTGACGGGTAGAAATATCGGGCTGAAACATCGACCTCTCTGGAGCTGGCCGCAAACGTTGCTGGCATCCAAGAACTTGACCAAATTGTCTTCGAGGCTAGTGGTAGGCCCGCAACGTTTAGTAGATCTGTGCTAAGTGTTAATGGCAGTTTTCTTGATGACGACTAAACGAGGGTGGATCACGGGCTTGTGCACTTCGAACACCCATCGCGACCTCACTCTCGTCTGCAACGGCGCTTTATCCCTCTGCAGCCTATGCAGTGTCATTCTAGCACCCCCCTCCCATATGAGGGAGGAGTTGCTGCGACAACAACTGAGGTCTGTGCGTGAATATGACGAGGCCATACGAAGACGAGCACACATTCACTGACTACATATTCACATTGAGGTGTATTCTGGTATTCTGAAATAGCTACCGGCAACCTACGGTAATCTGCTTTGTTGACTTTACCGCTGCCTTCTACTCCGTCCATCATAAGTCCCTGTAATGAATATTGAAATTAGATGTCGTGCCAGCCAAAACCATCTATCGCTCCACCACTATGTGATTTAATAGCCATAATAATTTCTCAATCGTTCGATAGGCGATCTGGTTCTCGACAATGTTGCCTCTTGTTACCCATTCTTTCGAACTATGCCATTAACTGGATGCTCGGAAGGGTCCTACACGGTTTTGGTGTAAAATTCGCACCCGGACGCAGGCCGAATGGTCTAAATTGCGCTAAAAGTATTGTCTAGCTAGTTTTTAGCGTTGATATGTAATGTGTGATATCAGGGGTGAATTAAGCCGCTACTTCGGTCGGTGTATCAATAAACGCTGCGTTTGATCCGCATCCGCGCCCCTCGGGATAAATGACTATCAACTTGAGGTTCCCTAACGAACTTGTCTCCTCCCGATAGCACAACTTTTGTAGTCCCGTCCCCCTTCAAGCATTTTCGTCCGCATATGCTCCAGAACGCATTTATCGACACCATTGAACGCATTTCATACAGACTTAGCGATACCGGGTGCCCGTTAGAACTAGGTACGCAACGCTTCCAGTACATACGGACGCCACAATAGTACTGGTACAAAACGAGTTTTTGTACAAGCATGCACTATTTACCAGCCGGCCTATGTTGAAACAGTGATGGTAAGGAGTCCGAGCATCAAATTTGCCTCCTGAAATAGTCAATCAGAGGGCAGCCTCCGTTTAAAATATTTGTGAGCTGCGGTAGACGTGTCCAATAATCTGAAAATAGGCCTGAAAGCACACTAGTTCCTTTTGCAGCTGCCTTTTTCAGAGACCAAATTCTTTAATTTAATACACGTTATTCAGAGATAATGATCATTTAGATATTGCTCAACGATGAGCTGTGGATGTTCGTGTGGGCTACTCGTGGGAGCAATGAGGTCCGGAACACGCGCCTTCTTGACGTGAGCAGCTCAAGGACATGCAGGTTGCTAGGGCTGTCAATCACAGTCGCCTTTAAGAACGAAGTGATGATCGCAAATGGTGGCTGATTATTCCCAGACGGAGGAGAGAAACAGAGAGGTGCCTCCAAGGAAGCAGTTTAGAAAGAGGAGATACGCTGGTTAAGGCAAGATTTATTTCTGCTCGAATCTTGGATTTTTACTGAGGCAAGGACACCTAACCACAATGACGTTTCGGTAAATGGTCGGAGAAGCAGTGTTTAAGCACAGATAATTTGGTTAAATGGAAACTTCCGCCTGTGCAGTTGAAAATCCTATCTCATGTCAACATAAAACTGTAGTACGTAATCGGAAGAGGGAACATCAGATATGTACAAAAGAAATATCGACATTATACTGAAAGAGGAACGAGCAAAATAGATAGTGGAAAAGGCAGATAAAAACGCCTTAGACAGTGGACAGAGCATTGGTCAGTTTAAGCAGATGTATGCTGAGAAAAACGGAGTACGACGTCATTTATCGTCAAGGGTCAATGTAGGTCTCTGCAATCACATGCTGTCGGTTAGAGACAACAGTCTGTGTATTTCTGTTCCCTCATTATCCATAACACACACCTGCGGGCAAGGCGCGCCGGGTTAAGGACCTGAGTATTGTTCTCGGAAGGAAGGTTCCAAAAGAACGGTCAATCAGCTCCCAAAGACGGGCCCAGGTGGTCATGATGAAGTTGCTTTTGTGGTCGTCGTCCGCGAACTTTCGCTTCTACAGCCGGAGGCCTGTGCTGTCGTAAAGAGGGTCATGATCGGCCCAGCATCTTACGTGAACTTCTTCTTATCAACACCCAGAAAGAGAAGGCTAATGTAAGCGAACAGGCGAGTCCCAGGTAGCAGTTCAGAAGATGAAGATGCGATCACTGGGACAAGAAGTTTATTTGCCTGACGTTTCGGATTCTCACTCGAATCCATCATCAGAGACATTCGCAGATAGAGGTGAATGTGGCACCAGGAGTGCAGTATTTATAGCACGTGGCTGCCGTAGGACCGTATGCGCGCTGCAATTAACAGTTCTACCAATCGCCGCTGGGGTCGTAATTGATGCGGCGGTGGCTTGGCGGTCCGAGTCCGAGTTGTTAATTGCCGCGATTTCGTCATCCGTGCTCGATGCTGGTGTGACGATTGCTCGGCAAACTGGCTCACTGTCACCGTGATAATTGCTCACCCGCGCCCTCCCCACGTGACTGATTCTCCTGCCCAGGGAAAATCGCAATACGCAATAGGGCACCGGGAGGTCATTGTGTTTGTTAATGGATTGCGGGCCTGAGAACCATGACTCGAGCAGCTCGCGGCTCACGCGGTTGTCACCTCTTGCGAGGATTTCGGCCTCTTGAAATTTGAAAATATGGCCGGGTCCCGTTGAGTGTGCCGCCACCTGAGAGTTAGCGTCTCCCCGCCTCACTGCTGCTGCGTGTTCGGCAAGTCGCGTACGGAGTAATCTCCCAGTTTCTCCGACATAATTGCTTTGTCCGCAACTACACCAGATCCGGTAAACGACTCCAGACGTTTCCTGCCGTGGCAGCGGGTCTTTTGGCCTCATTACTTGGCGCCTAATGGTTGCTTCCGGCCTGTGTGCAACCCCAACTCCAAGTGGAGTGAGAAGACGACTGACGGCTTCCGAGACGTTCTTCACGTACGGAAGAGCCCGCCAAAATTTGGGGCTAGTTGGATTTGGTCTCTGGTGTCCTTTTCGTATGCACTGGTTGACAAAGTTGCGCGGGTAGCCATTACCTCTCATTAACCGTCGAAGATATTGTAATTCAGCAACCTTGTCTTCCATTTCACTGCAGTGCGTCTCAACACGCCGGTATAGCGCCCTTACGCAACTGCGTTTGTGACTGATCGGGTGGTTGCTATTGAAGTTTAGTATTTGCGTCGTATTTGTCGCTTTCCTGAACACTTTGGTTTTCAGGCCACCACAATCTTTGCGACAGACGAGGACATCCAGGAAGGCCAGCTGATTGTTTTCCTCCTCCTCCATCGTAAATTGAATGTCCGGGAAGACGGCGTTGAGTTGTTCTTTGAAAGTCAGCACCTGATCCCGTTCGATGACGACGAAGGTGTCATCCACATACCGAGCCCAGAATTTCGGTCTGTGGTGTCGGAAAACCAGCGACTCCAGCCGTTGAAGGACCGCCGCGGCTATGAGTCCCGAAATCGGCGAACCCATTGGCGTTCCCTTCACCTGCTCGTAGATTGTTCCGTCGAATGTAAAGTACGTCTTGAGACAGAACTTTAGGAGCTGGATGATTTGGGCGTGTCCGAGGCGATTCTCCGTTTCGTCGTACTTCTCTCGTAGGAGTAGTTCGATTGTCTCGACTGCCAGGTCCTGCGGGATAAAAGTAAAAAGGGACGTGACATCAAAGGAAACCATGATATCGCTTGGCAGGAGACTTACTCCTTTAAGTTTCTCCAAGAATTGTGTTGACGAGCTGACTGTGGTGTTCGAATCGGAGGTCAGAAACTTGAGACGTTGGAACAGCCACTTTGCCAGTCCGTAGGTTGGAGTGCCCTTTAGTGATACGATAGGCCGGAGAGGAGCGCCCTCTTTGTGCGCTTTTGGAAGACCGTAGAATCGGGCTAGGGCTGTTTCTTGTGCTCTCGCCATGCGTCGGTCGATTGGCAATATTGCACCTGCGTTCTCCATTGCCAACAGCGTCGCGTTAATCTCGCGTGTCAGCGTTTTCATGGGGTTGGATTCGCATGGGACGTAGGACTGACGATCCTCAAATAAGCTTTTGGCTTTTTGATTGTAGTCTGTCCTGTCCAATATGACCGTTGAACGCCCCTTGTCCGCAGGCACGATAACGAGGTCGTTGTCGGCCCTGAGTTCCTTAAGTGCATCGCGCTCGACCTTGGAAAGCACATCGCGCGGCCTATGAGCCATGAGGAGGGAGGACACTTGGTGTCGAATGAGGTTCTTCGTTTCGTCTGTCGCTCCCGTCTGGCTGAGGATTGATTCTACTGCTGCGATCATGTTGGCAGGTTTGGCATCGGCTGTGTTGAATGAGGCCTCATGCCGTAAAACCTGCATTTGTTCCTCCGTCAGCTCCTTTGACGACAGGTTGTGCACCAGTTTGTCGTTCTTGGATGACATTGGAGCAGGCAGCTTACGAAATTTGCTCTCTAGGGCTGCTTCTCGCGTTGTTTTATGTTCGCGGGTTCGTTCGGCCAGCCTCTGCTAAAGCAGTTTTATGCCGTCCTCGCCCATGAACTCGCAGCACCTTGCTTTCTCTTGGTCAATCCTCTGCCGGTATTTGCGAATCCGTGAGTGACAGTCTTGAAGGAGCACTCGGATCATTCGTCGGCCGTGCTGAAGTACTGCGCGTCTCGCCAGCTCTGTGTTGACCGGAGGTTTGTATGAAACACACTTCGGCAGCACATTGTTGTCGAGACACCTGTGCAGAAATCGAATCTGCGCATATGTTGACGACTCCCGAAGGGCAAAGGTTTCCCACCGTCGAGCCGAACGGAGCGCTTCGCGCCCAAAAAGATTGCTGATAGAAGCGAACAGGCGAGTCCCAGGTAGCAGTTCAGAAGATGAAGATGCGATCACTGGGACAAGAAGTTTATTTGCCTGACGTTTCGGATTCTCACTCGAATCCATCATCAGAGACATTCGCAGATAGAGGTGAATGTGGCACCAGGAGTGCAGTATTTATAGCACGTGGCTGCCGTAGGACCGTATGCGCGCTGCAATTAACAGTTCTACCAATCGCCGCTGGGGTCGTAATTGATGCGGCGGTGGCTTGGCGGTCCGAGTCCGAGTTGTTAATTGCCGCGATTTCGTCATCCGTGCTCGATGCTGGTGTGACGATTGCTCGGCAAACTGGCTCACTGTCACCGTGATAATTGCTCACCCGCGCTCTCCCCACGTGACTGATTCTCCTGCCCAGGGAAAATCGCAATACGCAATAGGGCACCGGGAGGACACATAGAAATAACTGTACACGAACAATGAAAATATTCGCTATATAAACAGTACTTGATCCCTTTGAGTAGTGTTGTATCGGAGAAAAACTTTCGTGGTCGTAATGTTTTATTTCGGATTCAGACTGTCGAGGAAAAAAAGGGACACCAATAAACATCAAAGCGTTTTTTGAAGAGTTGCAGAGACGTCCCGGCGGAAGCCAAACAGGCAGCCACAGTGAGAATTCCTCTCTAGGTGGGTCGGGTACAACGGGGTGGCGGTTTTGAGGGGAAGAACGGGCGGGATAAACAGCAAAGGGCACTGGATTTGCAGTTGGATGCCGAAAAATGTTGAAAGTCGCAGAAAAACAAATATTTGTTTTAATGAAGTCAAAAAAGGGGGAGACTGGCGCGCAAATAGGGAAAACCGTAGGCAATGACCAATCGAAGGAGGGCTGGCCGGGGACGTGATGTGATTGGCCGCCGTGGCGAGTAAACCTGAACCGCCAAGCGGCTCACCAATGGGATCGTTGGCGCCGCACTTGAAAGTTGTGTGCGTTAGATGGGCACGAAGCATACGATGCGCAAAGAGAACGCGGGCGGACAGCAATGTACTGCGTTTGGGTAAGAGTATTTGTATAAAGTGCTTATGACAATTGCATCACTTCCCGGCCCCTTACTAACCCCCTCCCTATTTGGTATATCGGTGATCTCCACCGCATGCACCGTTTAATACGCATAACGCGAAAGATGGTTAGGATACCTGGACGCACTCCAACGCCACCGCACCAGCCTACAACAAGCTAGTGAACTCCCGAAGGTGGCGGCCGCTGTGTGTATGTTCGATGTTTTATGAGATTTATAAGTATCCATAGTGGGAGCACTTTGTAGGACTACGTAACCCTTCTATGGTTAAATTTAACCACAGAGCGTACTGCCGGGTAGGTTTAAGTTGTATGAGAAAAATGCAGAGACAGTTACGGTATGTGCGAGTAGTTAGCGCGGACCGCATGATAGTCTAATATCTATAAGCAACCGGTAATTCAACTCAACCTCATTCTTCGGTGTACTGTGATATATGTAGGCACACATAAGGGAAAAAAGAGGGGTAGGAGATATGTATAAGTTGACATCAGCAGTATCGTAAACTCCTACTGTTTTATACCTAGTTCGTCACCGAATGCAGGCGGACGTAGGCGCGGTCCTCAGCTGATTACACCGACGGCCGAGGACGAAATACAAGCTGTCCTTCAGTCAATTCAATTCAATTATTTTTATTAAAGACCCGTCGGGGTCCCATCAAAGCAAGTAAAAATAAATTTACATGCGAATTTTAGACGATGTAGGCAAAATCTGCACAAAGTGCAATGCATAGTTTTTGAGATTAGAAGTCCGTAAGCAAAATGAAAATGAAAAAAAACGAAAAAAAACGAGGGGTGAAAAAAAAACTCCAAAGCAAAATTGAAAAATGATTGTAGTAATTTAACAGGAGAAAAAAAACCCCTCAGAAAAATAGCAATAGAAAAAAAACAGGGAGGACTGGCCTGCATGTGGCGGTACAAAATGGAATAAAGCCCGACATCAACATGGCCGAAATAGATGTCAGCTGTATATGGCATTGTGTAACGGATTTCATAAAATGGTACGTAGGCGGGTCGGTCAGGACTGGCCTGTATCGCCTTGAATAAGAAAAGTAAGTGCCGAAATTGAAAACCAGTCTCAAGCCGATAGGAACCCAGATGCGGTCAGTTTCATTCAACCGAGTCCATCCGAACATGGGGGCAGATGCGACCAGACTACTAGTATATGGCGAATATAGAAGGCGATGTCAAAACCGCCGATGGAGCGCATTCTGTAAGGGCATGATGACAACCAGTCTCGAGGCGACAAGAACCCAGATGCGGTCGGTTTCATTCAACCGAGTCCATCAGAACATGGGGGGAACATGGGGGAAGGGGGATGCGACCAAACTACTAGTATATGGCAAATATAGAAGGCTTTGTCAAGACCGCCGATGGAGCGCATTCAGTAAGGGCACGATGACAACCAGTCTCGAGGCGACGAGAACACAGATGCGGTCTGTTACATTCATCAGAGTCCATCCGAGGATAGAGAAAAGGAGATGCGACCAGATTACTAGTATACGGCTAATATAGAAGGCTTCGCCAAGAGCATCGATGAAGCGCATTCAGTGAGGGCATCATGAAGATCAGTCGCGAGGCGATAGGAACCCAGATGCGGTCGGTTACATTCATCCGAGTCCAACCGAGGATGGGGGAAGGGAGATGCGACCAAACTACTAGTATATGGCGAATACAGGTTTCGCCAAGAGCGTCGATGGCGTGTATTCTGTGAGGGCACGATGCATGAACTAAAAAATTGGAATAATTAACATTTCTGGTGAGGGATCTTAGGTAGCGAGACTACTCATAAAGAAACGAAGCGTGAACAGATACGGAAATTTAATAGCGGCATGCTAAATTCCCGGTGGCCCTTTCTCAGTGTCATAGAAAAAGTTGTCTGGGAAGGATGAGGAAAATAAAAGTTTAATCGAGTCAGTATTCAGATAAAGGCGTAGCCTTCTCTTAAAGGTGTGTAGATTTTCTGAAGATCTAATATTTATTGGAAGGTTATTCCAGATGAATGTATACCTGGAAGCGAAAAAAAGGGAGTGCTTAGAGGTGGAGGACGCTGGAAGAGGTATAATTAGAGAGGAGTTGCGAAGATTGTATGGGCGACTACTAGGGGTAAGTGTTGAAATCCGAGGAAAATTTGAACTAAGATTAATGCGAAAGAGGAGACAGAAGCCCGCTTCTAGTCTTCGAACCCATAAAAATTTTAGGTTAGTTAGTTGGCATCTATCTGAGTAGGAGATATTGGGATGTTCCCTATCTAAAAGTTTTTTTGATAAACGTCTTTGGACATTTTCAATTTTTAAACGACTGGCTTCATTCATCAAACCAAAGAATTGGCAACAATACTCGAGAATGGGAAGTACAAACATACGATAGAGCCTTAATTTAATTTCAGGAAGATAGAAATTGTAAGAAATAAAGCCACAAATCTGGGCAGCTTTGGCTGTAATTCTGTCAGCGTGCGGCGAGAGATCAAGATTACTAGTGTAGCTTAAACCTAAATCCTTGATGGTGGTACATTCAGTCATAGGTGTTCCTTGAAAGACCACAGGTTGGGGTAGCCTATCAGGTCCAAAACACATATAACGACATTTAGACGGAGAGAATTCCATTAGCCATTTTGAGCTCCAAGCTGAGAGAGCAAGCAAGTCAGCATGGATTTGCTCCAGGCAATGAAGGCTCGTAGATTTTTT